ACTCACGCACTTTAAGTATTAACTCACAGACCTTAAGTTTCAACAACTACTGACATTAATCACTAACGTCACACACATTAAGCACAAACCCTACGCACATTAAGCACAAACTCCACTCACATTAAGAACAAATCACACGCACCTTAAGCACAAAAGCCCACACTTTAAGTTTTAACAACTACTCACATTAAGCACAACCCCTCGCACATTAGGCACAAAACTCACGCACCTTACGCATAAGACTCACGCATCTTATATACAAAACTCACGCACATTAATCACAACACCGCTAACCTTAATTTTGACCTGGATGCAAAAATTACAAAATTGCCACCACATTTTTTTTTTAAATTTTGGTAATCCTGGATGTTAATTTAAGCGAGATGAATGACCCAGATTAAACCTCACAACCGCACTTGGGCATCCTAACCGCACCAGAATCTAATTGTATATATATATATATATATATATATATATATATATATATATATATATATATATATATATATATATATATATATATATATATATATATATATATATATTGTTTTCTTAGGTGAAAATAGGGTTTAATCTCATTGGTGTAGCAAAAATAAGATGTGAGCTCGGGTGTGAAATATCGTCCTCAGGGGATTGGGGGATATGGCACGCAATATGCAATCACAATAAACTAGGCACTAGCATAAGGAAATCAACAAGAAGCTAAGCAAACTACAAGTTTAAGAAAATGATAAGACTAACACATATATACAAAGATAAACACAAAATAAAGAAATAGGACTCAAGCTAGGGAGCATTATCATCTAGATGCTTTAACAACCTAAGGGATTAGGGAGAACAAGTAACCAAGGAATCAAGCGGGAATGCACGTAGGTATCCTAGTCTATGAACCATTCTCGTGATTAATAAACAAGGATTAGGACAAGGAAATGCCCCACTTTCGTGGTGAATCAATTTCAAGTCTATCAAGCACACAAAGCATCTAAAGCCCCCAATTTCCCCTATTTTCGTAGGAAGAAATCGGGTCTATGCAAGGGGTGGCTTGGATTCATCACCCAACTCTCATTGAGGCAAGGAATCCTCCAAAAACAAGCTAATGAATGTGTACATCAAACATTAACAAGATATAAACACAACACCTTCACAAACACATGAACCCTAGGTAGTGTTCTTCCCCTTTTTTTGCAATAAGCACAAATCAAGCATCAAGATAGATAATACAACCCTAACTCAAGTTCATAAACTAACTACTCATGATTAAATAGCATAAAGAACACAAAAGCACAAGCATTAAACATAAATCTTTCAAAAGAATGAGAAAAAAGAAAGAAAACTTCTCTAAAGAAATTGGATGGTGGAATCTTGAAATGTTGGAGTCCAAGCTTCAAATCCAAGATTACAAGCTTCAAAAGTGTTAAGAAACATAAATCTAAGCCTAATCTAACCTAAAAATATGAAGGGAAGTGAAAGAGAGAAACTAGGGCTCAAGCATAGCTCAAAACCGTGGAAAAAGAGCTCAATTTGAGCTTAAATAGGGGCAGAGCAGGTAGGGACGCCCTCAGGGATGGGCGTACGCCAGGGGGTACGCCACCTGCTTCATTCTTGAGCTGATGGATGGGCTGATGGATGGGCGTACGCAAGGGCGTCCCATTTTTGGTGCATTTCCAGTGAACACTGGAATGGTCGTACTGGCATGCGTACGGGCGTACGGCAGGGCGTACGCCACCTGGTTCCTTTTTCAGATCTCGGATGGGATGAGGGATGGGCGTACGCGAGGCAGTACGAGGCTCCTGGAAACAGAATTCTGTGCACTTGTCTTGACTTCTAGGCTATTTTCCTCCTCTAAAACCATTTTATTGGCACTTATAGTCTTCAGCAAAGTTGTACCCCTTTAAGTTGGCTTTCCAATGGTGCAAGAATCACCCCATTTGGACATTCCTAGGCCGAGATATGGTCAAAACACCGAGCAGTATCCGAAATGAGCGAAAATTACAATGTCTTGATCTTTTGCTCCTCTTTTGTTTTGGTTTGCCCAAATGACTAAGACCATTGAATACACCACTCTTAGGTTTCCTTGGAAGTGTTTTGCCCATCAACTTAGCTTCTCCTTGGCTACCATGGACTCTAAATGTATCCATAATGCTCCACTTGACTCCAATATCCACCAAAATGCATGATATTACTCATCTTTGATTCCAATGCTTTCCAAACCAAACTCCTTGCAAAATAACACAATTTAGTCCCAATCTCATGAAATTTGGAATGATCTATATGCAAAATGGCTTAGAGAAATGGTAGAAAATATAGACAAATAAGCATTTATCACTCATCCTTTGATTGAACCTAGATCAAGCGTTCAAAATGGAGATATCTTTTAAAAAAAATGCGGTGGCATTATGATACTTTTGTATATCGCAGAATAATATTTATATATACACACGAAAAAATATATAAGATATTATTGGATATATATCCGAAATATATATATATATATATATATATATATATATATATATATATATATATATATATATATATATATATATATATATATATATATATATATAGTTTTTTTAAGGTGAAAATAGGGTTTAATCTCATCCTTTGATTGAACCTAGATCAAGCGTTCAAAATGGAGATATCTTTTAAAAAAATTGCGGTGGCATTATGATACTTTTGTGTAAGTTAAATTTTTTTGTCTTTCATTGCATTTTTTCCTTCTTGCAGAGCACAATGTTGTGCCTTCTAGAGCACACTGATATGCCTATCAGAGCACATTATGTGTCTTCCAGTGAACATTGTTTAGCCTTCCAGAGTACATTGTTTAGTCTTCCAGAGTACATGTAAATATCAGGTTTTGAACCCAAGCTTTATTAATTGACAAATCTATGCACACGGCATACAAATTATGACACACGACTACATTTGTCCTCACATTCCTCTATATATATATATATATATATATATATATATATATATATATATATATATATATATATATATATATATATATATATATACACACACACACACACACACACACATAAGCCTAGTAGTCCATTGTTGAGTATTCTATGACATGTGATGACCAAATTTAAAATTATAATTTATTTTTAATTTTTAATTTTTAATTTTTAATTTGTTTATGCGTAGTCTAGGGTTTTACGTTTCTCTTTCTCAATTGTTATTTTTGAAATTTGAAATTTCGTCTTTTTCTCTCATCAAGTCAGATTTGTTGTTTTCCGTGACATTACAATCACAAGCTCAATAAGCATTGCTTTAAGTCAGACTTAAAATTTGCCATTGAATTCACATATAATCCACCAAATCCGCTATTTGTAGATAATATATATTGGATTAGATCCACACCCCTAAGTCGATGTAGATGAGATTTTTTAAATCTTTCCTTGCTCACCCATACATTGGATGATTTTGAAGTTGGATTGGTGGCTCATTTTCCCCTACTACATGGGACCGGGATCAACCTTGTACAAGACAATATTAGTCTAAACTTTAGGCCTGTATTACTTTATTGTAGTTTAGGAATAGTTCGTGTTGGACATGTATATAGTAAATACTTGAATATGCTAATTCAGCCATGACTACGGGAAGTATAAATAATATTTTGGTGTTGTGAATTTAGAAATATTATTTATATTGGGCGAAAATTTTATAATTTGATTGATCAAGAATGTTAGAAAATTTTCATGATTTAGAAAAATTAGATTGAAAGCTCACTTTCCTGAAGCCTAAGTTAACTACTCGTGAGTTAACTTCTTGGAAGAAGGTCCAGAAGGTTTACTTCTCATGCGTTAACTTCTCGGAAGAAGGTTCAAAAGGTTTACTTCTCGGAAGAAGGTGTAGAAGGTTTTGAAAATTTTCTTGAGAAATTGTAAATATTATATTTATTAATATAATGAATTCTTGATCAGTTACATTGATATTTAATCCGCGAATATTTTAAATATTAAATTTAAATTATTATAATCATTATGAGAATAATGATTGTGGAAGTTACAAAAAACTTTCAGTAACTTTCTTCATTAATCTGGATTTTAAGAGAATTGAAAAAGAGATGTCTGATGATGGATATAAAATAGACTTCCATCAGTTGCCAATATACGCTTGACGAGAATGTATTATATTCTTGACTAAGTGATTGCAGTACTTACGAGAGAGTAGTGTTTTCATATAAAACAAAAATTTCAAATTGCAACCCTAATTTGGTGAACTTTTTAATAAAGCAACCTAAAAAGTTTGATATTCTACTTGTATATATATCAAAAGTTCTAATTTGTTTACCTTGTTTGCTAAGGGAAATCATAAAGTTTTAGGACAATGAGCTGTCTCACGCCCTGAAAATTGTGATCGAGCATTCCCTTGTTTTCTATGTATCAGGTTCCTTTTCAACACCCATGCACCTTCTTCTAACATTCTAAAAGTTTATGAAATTCCTTGATCATGGCGTCCACTTTGAAAGGCATGTCAACCATCTTCCAGGAGTTGGACAAGTTTGAAGGTGTTGGCTTTAGGCATTGGCAGAAGAAGATGCATTTACTCCTGGCCACTTTGAACGTGGTGTACGTGCTGAACAATCCCCATGCCGAAAGAGTCTGAAGATGAGACTCTTGAACAAACTCGTTGAAGCATCAAGTGGGGAAATGATGACTTCATATGTCATGGTCACATCTTAAACGGTATGATTGATTCCCTGTTTGATATTTATCAAAATGTTGAGATAACCAAAAAGTTGTGGGATAGCCAAATACATGATTGTGACGAAGCATTCTATAAACTGAAAATAAGCTCAAGGGCTTTCTTGTAAATACTCTTCTTATTTTTTTTGTTATAACTGTCACCAGAGTTATATAACAGTAGCTTTGTTCTTTCCTGTAATCAGTTAGTTCATTCTCCAATCTTCAATGTAGTTCATCTTTCTCCCTTTCAGCTTTAGTCACTTCTTCTTCCCTACATAGATGTAATGTTCTAAGCTTCTCATCATGGTATCAGAGCTTCCTCGAAGCTATGCAGCGGCTGTTACAATGAACACTAGAGCAGGCGAAGGAAATTCAAACATCAATCATGTGAATCAGAATGCAACAAATCAGAATTCGAGCCAACAAAGTGAAGAATTTGATGATCCCTACTACCTGCATGTTACTGAAAATCCGAACCTGATCTTAGTCTCACCTACTCTATATGAAATCAACTACAACTCATGGAGCAGATCTATGAGAGTAGCTCTCGAAATTAAGAACAAATATGGCTTTGTTGATGGATCCTTACCATGTCCAGGTGTATTGGATCCCAAATATGGTGTATGGATGAGGTGCAACAAGATCGTGTGCTCTTGGATCATGAAATCTCTCAATTCCACCATTGCAGAGAACATACTTTACTTTGACATAGCATCAAATGTAACACCCCGAAATTTTTAAAACTTTTTAATCTTATAATAGGAAAGCAATTCTGTTAATTAATCCCAAACAGAGCATTCTAAACATAAGGGTCTGGGGTGTTATGCCACACCTGAGCTGGAGAACTCAGATGTACAGGCTATACTAACTAATTAACTTTAAAAAACATCATTACATCATCAAGGCACGCAGGCCGAAAGGAAATCTAACTACCTAAACCTTGGGTCCTCTAGCGCGCTTCGGTAGCTAATCATCTGTGCCTGAAAGCCAAATATATCTGTTCAGTGAATGATGCTGGTAACCTACTCCACCGCGTTAAAATACAATATAGGTATATATATATATATATATATATATATATATATATATATATATATATATATATATATATATATATATATATATATATATATATATATATATATATATATATGTGTGTGTGTGTGTGTGTGTGTGTGTGTGTGTGTGTGTGTGTGTGTATTCAAATGAGGACAAGCATATTATAGAGGACTGTGAGGACAGATGTAGTGTGTGCCACTAGCCGGTATGTTGTGTGCACGGCCGAATATAGTCGTGTGCCACAGTTTGTATGTCGCGTGCTAGATTTGTTAATTTATAGAGCCTGGGTTCGAAACCTGATGTTCACATTTATTCTTGTGTGCCATAAAGTATTAAGTTGTGTGCTTGGTATTAATTTTTCGTGCGGCCATTATTTGTCCTCACAGTCCTCTATATATTGTTGTCCTCATTTGAACTCAACCATATATATATATATATATATATATATATATATATATATATATATATATATATATATATATATATATATATATAAGAAAATCATTTTGAAGCAGGAAGATATATACTTAGGATACTCTAACTTTAAAATCAGGAATAGACTCGACAGATAGGGATAAGCACATTCAACAGTTATAAGCAAGCATATAATTAAAGACATTATCATATATCCTAAGGTCACAGGTTAGTTTCACATCATTCATGTCATCTTTCAATCAATATCTTTATCACATAAGCACACTTTGGTGGCGCCACAAGACCAATCGCATGCCCATATATGAGGGTCAGCACATATAGCGCTAACACGGCCCCGCAGCACCCTGCCTCATACCGCAGCATGAAGAGGTTGACCGCAGCCAACCGATGAACCGCAACTCATCAAACCGTTGGCGAGCCCAATCGGTGGACTGTGGCCCAAAAAGTGTGTCACTGACCACAGTCAGGATTATGAACCGCAGCTCATGTAAAACCGTTGGCGAGCCCAACGGTGGACTGCAGCTCTACACATCGTTGGCGAGCCCAATCAGTGTACTGCAGCCCATGTAAAACCATTGGCGAGCCCAATGGTGGACGGCAGCCCTACACACCGTTGGCGAGCCCAATCGGTGGACCGCAGCCCATGTAAAACCGTTGGCGAGCCCAACGGTGGACTGCAGCCCTACACACCGCTGACGAGCCCAATCGGTGGACCGCAACCCATGTAAAACCAATTTGACCGCAGCCAATATTGGGGAGTCATGCACATATAACACATAACAAGCACATGCAACCCACATTAACACATTAGGAAGGGGGAGAAAACGTATAACGAAACCTATGCGTGGTCATCCACATACTAGGAATAATCCTAAGGGGTTCATACATCTTTCGCCTAGGTCAACGAGGTACCAATTCAACTAGAATACAATGCACAAGACTCTTTTATCCTACGAACGGTACCCGAAACATCAAACTAGACTTAGGCACGATAAACAGAGTCTGTTGGGACACCACGAGGATCGGGGAAACATCAAACGGGGAAGCCAACATCCCGAGGTGGGGAAAAACCAGCGGGTAGTCCCGCCGGCGGCGAGAAACCGGGCAGCGGGTGCCCGGCGGGCAGTCGTCTGCCCGCTGTCGGCGACGCCAAAATGGGCAGCCAGTAGGCGGCGGGTTCCCCTACCCCCACCTACCCCCCACTGACTCCTTTTCAATATTTGGGTCCCGGGATCTTTTGTGGAACCCGAAATCATGCTTAGACACTTTTAAACATGAACGATGACACCACGTGGTCAAATAATAGATCAAAACCAAGAATCATATTGAACATATCCTAACATGATTTCTAAACATAATCAACACCTGAACATGCGAAATCCCACCCAAATATATCAAGTACATCACAATACGAAATTCCCAATTTAACCTAGGGCTCTAATCATATTTAAACCATAACATCATACTTTATCTTTAAAATCAAGAACATTAAGATTTATCAAGAGCAACACACAATTATCAAGAACCTCTTATAATCATCAAGATTATCAAGATCAACACATAAGATCATCTCATCAACATCAAGATCATAAAAGATTTATCAAGACACAAGCATAGAATTGCATATCAAGGAGGCCAAAGAAGAAGATTATAGCAAGGAAAATAGGTTTTTTTGAGACATGGGTTACCTCATAGCCTTAATTAATCCTCCCTTGGCTATTAAGGTTCTTCCCTAAAATTTCCATCCGATCGACCTCCCTAGGCTTGGTGGTGGGGAACCCCTTGGGAATACTTTTGTGTAATATAACTATGGTGGTAAGGGTTCTAATGCTTTCTAATCCACTATTTATAGCATCAGGTATCCTAATCATAATCTGAATAGTAAAGGCCTACTTCCTTCATTCCTAATAGATAAATAGGGCTAGGATTCCTAATTAGAATCTGACTAGTAAAAGGTTTACTCTCTTTATTCCTAATAGGCTTAAGACTCTAGTTTAGACAAGGGTCCACGATCCATGGTGGACCACATTAATTAATTAATTAATGGAAATTCTAACCGAATTAAATTCTTTTTAATTATTATTAACGGAACTAATTAAATAATTAATCTGGGATTGAAGGCCGTAACACGGAGTGTTACATCAAACATCTGGAGTGCACTCAGCAAGAGATACTCACAAGCTGATCCTCACAGAATTGCTGAACTTCAGAATGAGATCTTCACCAATGTGCAAGGTGACAAAAGTGTTAATCAGTATTTTACGAAATGCAATGCTCTATGGGGTCATATGAATGCCATGAGACCCCTACCAACTTGTGAATGTGTTCCTAGATGCTCATGCACTCTAATGAGTAAAATACTGAAGGAAAAACAAGATGATCAGGTTATTAGGTTCCTAGAGGGACTAAATGACGAGTATGAGTCCATAAAATCAGGAGTGCTTGTTATGGACCTCATTCCTAGCATGGAGAAAGTCCTCAACATGACCTTGAAGATAGAAAGAAAGCTCAATGGAGCTGTTAGCCAAAAGGCTGCTGAACTGATTCAATCAAATGCTGTTGAAACCAGTCAGAATCAATTTACAGATGAACAAAGTATTGCAGCTTGTTCAGTACCAAACAACATGAAAAGATTCAATAATAATGGAGGAAAGAGTGTTCCAAAATGCACATATTGTAACATGATTGGTCACACAGTGGAGAAATGCTATAAGAAGCATGGATACCCCCCCCCCCCTCCCCCCCAGGCTGGGTTCCAGGTTATAAATCCAAAAACAAATAGAGTCAAGACATCCCAAGTTCATCCTTGAATCAGGTTGGGGATATAGGATTGACTGCAGATCAGTTCCAGAGGTTGGTGGTCCTCTTACAGAATCAAAACCAAGCAGGTCAATCATCATCAACTAATGCTGCTGTCACTATGAATAACACTGGGATGAGAACAGACTTCAGAAACAACTATAAGGGGTCCAATGAAGGCAAGTTCATTTCTAACCTTCATATTAACTGTGAAATAGATGCTATATGGATTTTGGATTCAGGTGCCACTGATCACATTGCATGTTCATTAGATTACTTTGAAAGCCATCACAAAGTTTTTGGATTATCTGTTAGACTACCTAATGGAGAGAATGTGAATGTCACACATGTAGGAAATATTAGACTGCACTCAAGTCTGTTGTGAACCAATGTGTTGCACATCCCCTCATTCACATTTAATATTGTTTCTGCTAGCAAATTAACAAAACAAGGATCATGTGAGATCATCATGAATAATGATTCTTTCACCATTCAGGGTCCCCATGGGATAGTGGATGGTTTTGCTAAAGAAAGGAATGGGTTATACCTGATCACTCATCCTCCTATTAAAAGAAAACACACTCAGATTGATAGGACCGTTAATTGTAATAGTCTATCTTTAGAATTGTGGCATTGTAGGCTGGGGCACTACCCTATGAATAAGATACATATTTTGAATGGGATAAAAGATTTACGGTTTTGAAAATCCTCTGAGTTTATCTGTGATGCATGTCATTTTGCTAAGCACAAAAGATCTAATTTCCCTGTTAGTACTTCTAGAGCTGCAAAATGCTTTGATTTAATACATATGGATGTTTGGGGGCCCTTGGCTGTTGCTTCTCTAAAAGGAGAACACTACTTTCTAACAATAGTTGATGATCATAGTAGGTTCACATGGTTACATTTAATGAAGCACAAATAAGAGGTGAAGTCCCTATTTCAGAACTTTTACAGCTATGTTGAAACTCAATTTGCCACAAAGATCAAAGTTGTAAGGACAGAAAATGGGAGTGAGTTTATGATGAACAGTTTTTGCAATGATAAAGGGGTTGTGCATCAAAGATCTTGTGTATATACCCCTCAACAGAATGGTATTGCAGAAAGAAAGCATCAACATATTCTAAATGTGGCTATGGCTCTTAGATTCCAATCTGGTTTGTCAATGGAGTTCTGTGGTCATTGTGTCTTACATGCCTCCTATTTGATCAACAGACTGCCTACTGCCACAGTTGGTAACAAAACTCCTTTTGAGATGTTATTTGGGAAAGATGTGAATTATGATCAAATGAAGGCTTTTGGATGTCTATGTTATGGTTCCACTATATCACAAGGAAGAAATAAAATGCAGTCTAGAGCCAGGAAGTGCATTTTTTTGGGAATCCCTGCAAATATAAAAGGCTACATACTATATGATTCGACTAGCCAAGAAGTGTTTGTTTCCAGAGATGTCCAATTCTATGAACAAGTGTACCCTCTCAAAGAAAGCCACTCAACAGATAATCCAAAGGCACCTGAAATTGAGATGTTCAATCCTACACTGCCTTTAGTTCCTATATCCACTGAGATAGATATTACACCTCTATAAAGTAATGATAACTTTGACAATGCTGGAATCATGGCAGATGATGCTAGGACAAATGATGAAATGGATTCTGGAATACATATTGACCTAATTCCAAAAGAAGATGCAGTGGATGAAAGTCCTATTCCACCTCAACCTAGGAGGTCAGGAAGAGCTAAACATGCTCCTGCCAGACTGCATGACTACCATTGTCACTTAGCAAGCAAATCACATATTGGAACCTCCCCACATGATATCAGCAAAGTTATATCTTATGAATGCTTGCTTCCTGACAACAGGGCATGTGCTTCATCCATTATTTCTGCACATGAGCCCCAATCCTACAATGAAGCAGTGAAAGATGAAGCTTGGAGGAAGGCCATGCAGGCTGAAATAAAAGCTCTAGTTGAGAACAAGATTTGGGTTCTCACAGATCTACCACCAGGAAAAACTTCCATTGGATGCAAGTGGGTATACAAAGTTAAACATAAAGCTAATGGATCCATAGAGAGACACAAAACCAGACTGGTTGCCAAGGGCTATACTCAATAGCTTGGGGTGGATTACATAGAGAGATTCTCTCCTGTGGCTAGGATGAAAACTATCAGGACATTCTTGGCCATGGCTGTCAGAAGAGGGTGGGATATCCAACAACTAGACATAAATAATGCTTTCTTACATGGAGATCTAGAAAATGAAGTATACATGGTCCAATGAGTGTTTGTATTTCTGTAGTCTACTAGAAATATAATAATACTCTAGTCTACTAGAAAGGAAATGACTAATTACAATCAATATACAATCAATACTCAATCACCCTAATCACTCACAATCAAATCATAATCACTATAATCATGCACATTCCTAATATGTCTAACACACCCCCTCAAGCTCAAGGTGGGATGAGACAACATTGAGCTTGCCACGCAGCAGTCCAAAACGAGATTACGGGAGAGGTTTCGTAAAGATATCTGCCAGTTGATCTTTTGTAGAAACGAAGTTGACCTGAAACTCTCCCGAGGCAACTTTATCACGAACAAAGTGGAAATCAATTTCCATGTGCTTAGTCCGGCATGAAAAACGGGATTAGCACAGAGGTATGTGGCCCCAAGATTGTCGCACCAAAGCGTCGTAGGCCGACCTGAGTGTAAACCAAGTTCACGCAGCAGTGAAATAACCCAAGTAACTTCAGCCGAAACATCTGCCAACCCCTTGTATTCTACCTCAGTGGAAGATCGGGCCACGGTTCGTTGTTTTCGGGAGACCCACGAGACCAAGTTAGTGCCTAGAAACACAGCATAGCCACTTGTGGACTTCCGGTCTACTGGACACCCGGCCCAGTCCGAGTCAGAGAATGCATGAATGTCAGTGGATGCAGAGGACTGTAAACGAAGACCATAAGATAGCGTCCCTTTAACATACCGTAGAACCCGCTGTAGAAGCCCCCAGTATTCAATGGTTGGGGCGTGCATAAACTGACGCATGCGGTTGACAGAGTATGAGAGATTCGGGCGTGTGATTGTTAAATATTGAAGGGCGCCGGCATGGCGGCGGTACTGTGTGGGATTGTCGTAGAGTTCATTATTAGGTGCAACAGCTTGAGTAACAGCAGCCGAGGTGGTGAGGGGTTTACAGTCAGTCATACCGGCCCGATTTAAGATGTCTCCCATGTAGCGACGCTGAGATAGGACCAGGGCACCGTTGATGGATAGAGTTTCAATCCCGAGGAAGAAGCTTGGCGTGCCAAGGTCCCGAATCTTGAATGTCGTAGATAATCGTTGCAGCAAAGTGTCAAGCAAGGTCTGATCATCTCCCATCATAATGATGTCATCTACATACACCAACAAGAACACATGGGCAGAGCCAGCTGAGTAGTGGAATAAAGAGACATCGGTTTTAGAGGCAGTGAAACCTGCAGACAGAAGAAAATCATGAAGCCGTTTAAACCAGGCCCGAGGAGCCTGTTTTAAACCATACAAGGAGCGTTGAAGATGGCACACATAATCTAGATAGCCTGGATCTTCATATCCTGGTGGCTGACACATAAAGACTGTCTCAGATAGACGCCCATTGAGAAAGGCATTGTGGACATCAAGTTGACGGAGAGTCCATCGGCGAGATACTGCAAAAGAAAACAAGTGTACCGTTGTAGGTTTTACAACGGGGCTAAAAGTATCAAAGAAATCTTCGCCGGCCACCTGGTGAAACCCTTTTGCTACTAGACACGCTTTGTAGCGCTTAATAGTCCCATCAGCTTTCCGTTTAGTGCGATATACCCAATTGCACCCGATAATATTCATGTTGGGTTTCGGCGGGACTAATGTCCAGGTGTCATTATGAAGCAGGGCATTGAACTCTTGGTCCATGGCATCCCGCCACTGCGGGTGACTGACGGCTTAAGTGTAACAGGTTGGATCAGCCGTGTCACTAGCTGCAGCAAGGGCTAAAAACTGTTCATCGGTACCCCGAGTCATGTGACCCAAGCGCATGACATGACTTTGTTGTACTGGCTGCTTAGACCGACGGCCTGTGGTACAAGGTCCTTCTATATCCAACGGAGCAACCGTATCCCTTGCTGGTGGGACAGACGGAGAAGTAGACGAGCCTTCAGTAAAAGGTACAACTGGACTTGAACCCCAAGGTTCAGTAATGTCCGCTCTCTGTTCTGGACCCTGCACAGAAGCTGCTGTAGCAAAAGGGAAAACAGATTCGTCAAATCTAACATGGCGACAAATAAAGGTTTTCCCCGTGTTAAGGTTTAAGCAACGATATCCCCGATAAGACATGGGGTACCCTAAGAAAACACATGGGGCGGACCGAAACTCTATTTTATGACGGTTGTATGGACGTAGATAAGGAAAGCATAGGCACCCAAATACCCGAAGAAAAGTGTAAGTTGGTGGGGTTTTATATAGACGCAAGTGAGGAGAGTCAAAAGTTAAGACTGAGGATGGAAGGCGATTGATTAAGTAGGTTGCGGTTTCAAAGGCAGAATCCCAGTATTTTAGAGGTACCGAGCCTTCAGCAAGTAGAGCTAGACCAGTCTCAACAATGTGCCGATTCCGGCACTCTACTCGCCCGTTCTGCTCATGTGTATAAGCACAAGATTGCCTATGCACAATGCCAAGAGATAGAAAAAGAGAATGCAGACGGTGGTATTCACCCCCTAAATCAGATTGGATGGCCTTGATAGAACGAGAAAACAATCGTTCTACCATGGCCCTAAAACAATCAAAAACCTTATATATATATCAGTTTTTACACGATGTGGATAAAACCAACAATAGCGAGTGTTGTCATCAACAAATAAGATAAAATAACGAAAACAATCGGCTGAAACAACGGGAGCCGGACCCCAAATGTCCGTGTACAAAAGATCAAGGACATTATAACTAGAAGTGTTTATTCTATCCAAAGGAAAACGCGAAGACTTGCCAAGTTGGCAAGCCGAACATAAGTGAGGAACTCGATTTATGAGGGATGACCGGACATACCCGTAGCACACGAATAAGAACACGATCATGCGGGTGGCCCAACCGACGATGCCAAACCACGGGGGAAGCTCGGGCGGATAGGAAAGCCATATGTGACCTCGGGACTGACAGCTGATAGAAACCACCCGAACTGGGTCCCTTAAGAAGAACCGCCTTGGTGATGCAATCCTTAACAAGAAAGAAGTTAGGATGAAATTCAAGATAGACATTATTATCATGTGTGAAATGAGAAACAGACAATAATGAAGCCGACAGTTTAGGAACGTATAACACATTTGACAATTGTAAGGATTTGGAAACAGTGGGAATCGAAGCAAAACCAACACGAGAAATACCTAAACCCGTCGCATTACCAACACGAAGAACATCCCCGCCGGAGTACTCCTCGGAATTAGATAGCATGGCGGCATCCGGCGTGGCGTGTGCGGTGGCTCCGGTGTCCGGGAACCACGTGGTCGAGACTGCAACACTGCCGGCGGTGTCTCCATTCACAGCGACGTTGGCCTGAGGCGGTGGCTGGTCACTGTACCGGCGGAAGCAATAAACCGCAGTATGCCCGTGACACCGGCAAATCTGGCAACGCGGTGAGCCTCCTATGCCCCGACCAGTGTTCCACCGTCCGCCACCACGATTATTCCCGCGTCCTCCTCCACGCGACTGCCGGCCTCCATCAGTCGATTGCCAGCGACCGCGATTCGCAACCATTGCCGTCGGCGAACCAGTCGGCAACCCACCCGTTGGAAATTCATCAGAATAAATGAATTCCTGGGCCTGCAAATAATCGGAGAGTTGAGGAAGAGACACCGGGGTACCTGTAACGGCCAAGGAAGCTGCCATTGATCGAAACTCCGGTCGAAGACCGCGGAAGACATACAAGTTCTGCTCGTCGAGGGAAATCGGACACCGGCCAGTGCAAGATCCTCCACAAGCAGTTGTGCCTTGCCGAGGTATTCTGCCGGTGTCATGTCACCCTGTCGGAGGGCTTGGAAGCGGCTGAGAAGATTGAGACACCGTGCCCTGGTGGAGGACCCAAGTGCGGACTCGATGGAAACCCACACCTCCTTGACGGTTGAGCGGCCAACTGCTAAATACATAACCTCCTCGGAAAGAGAGGAGATTAAGAGGGAAAGTATAGATTGGTCCTGTTAGACCCAACTGGAGAACGCCGGATTTGGAGTAGTGGACGTCGCCTCGTCAGTTGTAGCACCGGCGGAGGTGGTGATCGCAGCAGTCACCGGCGGTGGGCATGGATTCTCTCCGGTGACATACCCCAAAAGACCTTGACCACGCAAGAATGGAATGAGTTGTGTACGCCAAAAAAGATAGTTTCGTGTCGTCAGTTTGATCGACACAAAATGATGGGCGGAAGAGAGGTGATTTTGGGTGGAGGTCGGAGTGGGAGATACGGTGGTGGTCGTGACTGTTCGTTCAGAAGAGGTGTTGGCCATCGATGGGGAAGGAGAGAAAGAAGGAAAGAGATACCTATCACAATCTGATACCAAATGAGTGTTTGTATTTCTGTAGAATAAT